GTCCTGAGTTTGATCCCTGGTACTACAAAAAAAAAAAAAAAAAGATTCTCCTAATCAAAGGGGAAAAAATCATAATGCATCATACTTAGCTTGCTAAAACATATTTACACTGTGAATATGATCTTTCAAGGTCATAAATTCCCTGAGGCTAGTGACTATGGCATGGATATCTTTTGTGGTCTCTATTAAGCAAGCTTACTGAGCATATAACTAGGCTTTTGAAACATACTTTTTCAATCGGATTAAATGTTTCAGCAACAGATTAAGACTAAAAATTATCAAGATTGAGACTCAGTCTTGTATATACAGATAGCAGCCTTTTCTACCTACCTATCCACCTGCTGTGATTCGAACATGGCCTGTCCCCTCCAAAACTTATGTTAGAATTGAAGGACTGAGGGTGTGGCTGCCTAACATGCACAAGCCCTGAGTTCCACCCCTAGCACCACAAAAAGAGAAAAGAAAAACTTTGGTTGCCATTGTGGTGCCATTGGGAGCCAGGTCAAGATTCAAAATTTCTTCATTACTCGGGTAAAATAATCCATCTAAAATGAGGCCTACTTAAAATTTTTCTGAACGAAAAAACTAGTTGACTCAAGAAAGCACTGATCAGCTACTGAAGAAAGTGAGAGGACTGTTTTCCAAGTACACATTTTTGTGCTTTTAAATTTTATTCCATGTGAACAAATTGCTAATTAAAAACTAAATTAAATGATACATTATTTTCAGTACAGTTTCAATGAACCAATGGGAATAACACTGGAGATGACAAATTTTTCTACTGCCATTGTCCTTGAGGATGGTCAATAAAATGATAATTTAGAAAATTTTTCCTTAGAGATTAGAAAAATTATAGAAATGGTACAGGTGATTGCATAATGTGCAATGCTATTCCAAAATAATTCTTGCCTCTCCCTTCTGTCTGACAGATTTACTTCTCTTTCTTCCTGCAGTTATTTCTAGTTCGAGTTCATAAAAGAAAGAAAAATTTCAGGCTTGGCTTTAGCGGTCTCTGGTTCTCCTAACTCTGACCCCGACGCTTTCTTGTCAAATATGAAAGTGACATTGCAGAGTTGGTGAAATACCCTAAAATCCCTGTGGCCTTTACCAAAGCCCCTTATGCTGGTCGTGCCTGGAATGGAGCTGTGCACGGTGAGCCTGAACTGTGGGCTGAGCCCCACTCCATGCCACTTCCCACTTCATGCCTGTGTCCCCCCTAGATCTGTTCACCTATTATCCAGTGAAGAAGGCAACAGTGATGGCAAGAGAGTCAGCTCACAAGCACTTAGGGAAATGGCACATCAAGATGGTAGCCTTTTCTACATATCCAACTGCTGTGATTCGAACATGGCCTGTCCCCTCCAAAACTCATGTTGGAACTTAAGAGCTGAGGGTGTGGCTGCCTAACATGCACAAGCCCTGAGTTCTATCCTTAGCACCACAAAAACAAAAAAGAAAAAATTTGGTTGCCACTGTAGCACCACTGGAAGCCAGAATCTTTATGAAGTGACTGGCTCCTTAACAGGGAACAATGCCTTTCTTCTGTGAGGGAATATTTATTCCTATGGAACTAGGTTAGTTACCACAAGAGTGGTTGCAATACAGCTGGCTGTCTCTCATGTACTGGCTCTTTCACATGCTCCCACTTGCCTCTCTGTTTTCTGCCATGAATTGAAGCACCACAAAACCCTCACTGGTACCACGCTCTTGGACTTCCCAGCCTCCAGAAGTTTAAGCCAAAATAAATTTCTCTCCTGACAAATTACCAAGTCTCTGGTTTTCTGGTAGAGCAACAGAAATGGACAAAGACACTAGCCTTACTTTGCAAACTTACTTTGTCCAGAAACAAAAACACTCAAAACGGATGCTCTTTTTGATACAAGTATCAGAGAAGAGAAAGGGAGGGCTGCTTTTAAACAAGCATGTGAGTTTGGATTACATCGAGGTCAGCACCACAATCACAGAGTTGTTCATGAAAATGAAGAACTCTCCACACTCTATGGAACACCTATTAGCTGTCTGTTTCTCCCTCCTATCCCTGAGCAGCTCACACTCAGCCCATTTGTGATAACGTTCCCACTCGCAGGCCTGGAAACCATTAAAAACAGATGTCCAGACCAAGCTCCAGGCAGCTGGGGATGGAAGAACTTCGGTTGAGTCATAAACATGTCTCCATGCATGGAGGATACATTCCTTTCAGGTGTCTTTTTTGGTCTTCTCATAATGCCAAAGATATAACCTCCAAAGGACAAACTAAAGGCAGCTGTATTTGCACTTACTTTGGTTATTTTTTTTAAATTTGCTTGAACCGACTCTGAAATGTGACCTCTTATCTTTAGCTGCTGAGGTCTTCATAAAGATTACAGTGAGACCACACATTTGTATACTGAAACTAGAGATGGGGTTTGTGCATTATCCACCCTGGAAATGTCGGATCTTACTTTGTCTCGTCCCATGAAGGCTCTCTTATTAGGGAAAGGAAAAGGGAGGAAGAGTAACTATATTTAAAGCGAGTTTTATTTGTTTCCACTGTTACTGTGAATTGTTCCTCCGGAATTTGCAGTTTCTGAAATTATTTAAACCAAACCAATGTTTGTCCCAATTTTGGTCATGAACAAAATATGTCTGGTCTTATTTATACTGTCAGGACACAGAGGGAGGGTTCAGGAGTGAACAAAGGGTAGTCCCCAGAGCTCTCAGGGTGCCCAGGTCTTGGGCACGGTCACCGACGGCTCCTGAGGCCCCAGGAAGCAGCAGCCAGGCCAGCAGCAGCCGGGCCAGCACCAGCCCGGACCCCACCCTGCAGGCCAGGCAGGGACACAGCTCAGTCCCTCACTGCGGGACAAGAGGCGCAGGGGACTCTGTGCACCCTGGGACGGATGCAGGAGCTGTCCCGACCCCGCCACCGTGGGTCGCACCAAGCAGACAGGAAACCCCTAAACTTTAAATAATACAGTAACTTAAACGTACAAATTAAAATGAATAAAACAAACACAATAAAATCATAAAATAAAAACTGAACAATAAACTAAACACTAAATTTGATGTTTAAAATATAAGACGAATACAACGTAAAGGTTAAATAAATAAAAATTTTAAATAAAACAAAATGATACAATAGAAAATGAATAAAATAAAATGTAAAGGCCAAGAAGGTAAGAAAGAACCAAGAGGCTTGTCTGAGGCAGTGGTAAACCAGAAAAGGAGAAACTCCTGGAAATATTGAAATGGAGGAGGAGGAGGAACCTGAGGCCTTGTCTTGCTTCGAGAGTTTGTCGCTTTTGCCTTTGTCACCCACGCTGCTGGGTACCTCACGATGCGCACAGCCGCTGAGTTGTCGCGCCGAAATTCAACCCAGTAAAAACCACTGACCTTTTCACTTGAAACCTTCGCTTGGGGCAGCCCAGGCGTCGCGTGTGTGGAGTCCTGAGGGCAGAAGCGAACACCACAGGTGAGACCCGGGAAGTGGATTACGCATGCGCGGCCTCTTTCCCAAGGCGAGGCGTAGGGAAGAGCCAGCATCTGTGAATACGCATGCGCGGGCCGCCTCGGCGCTCTGACAAAATGGGTTTTAGGTCTAGAGTACTCGATTGGTTTGCTATGATGCTTAAATTCATTCACCATTATGCCTGAAAGGAAAATACACACACACACACACACACACACACACACACTGGGTGGATTGTCTAAATATTTTCGGAGAAAAACAGCATAAAAAATTGACAAATTTAAAATTAACAGGAACATTCTTAACTTAATAAAGAAAATGTAAGCAAATTAATACAAGTATCGTTTTTTAACATTGAAACATTAAAAAGTATAGCCTTTAAAATCCAAAAAAAAGGCATATATGATCTCTGTTATTCACCACGTACTGAAGAGCTTTACTAGAGTAGTAAGAGAGCAAAACAAGAAAAGATTCAGAAGAAATATGGATTTGAAATTTACCAGTATTTTTCTTCATAGTAAATCCCATCAAATCTACAATAAATGATGAGCATTAATGTTCAGCAAAATTGCTTAATACCAAATAACTACAAAAGTTCATTGCATTCCATTTGTGCAAGAGCAACAAATAATTATAAAGTACAATTCTAGAAGGATATTATTTACAGCAACCAAAATAATAGAGAAAATGATAAATTGAGTGGGAGAGCCCAAAGCTCTCAAAGAAGACCAGACACCCAAGAGAGTAACTGGCTGGATCGTAAGGTCAAAGTGGATGGTTTAATTTAAGATTTCAGAGAAGTGACCCCAGGAAATGGCAAGAATTCAGAGATGGTATAAAAAGGGGTGCTGGAGGGAAACAGGGGCACCAGCAACTTCATAGTTTCTGACCAAGTAGGCAGTGTTAGAAGTTGATTGTAAGAGAAGTAAAGAGTCTATAGAACTTATCAAGTGGTTTCAATGTTTTGGTTTAGATTAATTAATGTAGCATTTTGCTATAGCAAATAAAACATGTTTTGTTTGTACAGAAGCTCCTCAACTTATGATGAGGTTATAATTTGTGATCAGAAATAGGGTGAATGTTTATTTTTTTAATCTATTACAGTGAAAGACACATTGCCAAGAATTCAGCTCAATGCACTCCCCTCATTTCAAACAAGGTTATCCCATCATGCTTCCCACTTTCTAAAGCACTTCTGAAACTCCTCTTTTATGAGTGTCTTCAGTTACACTGACATGGCTGGCTCGATGTCCTGAACTAATTCGTAACATTTACCTTTCATGGTCATTTTGACTTTGAGGACAAGCCAGAAGTTGCACAGTGACAAATCCAATGAATAAGATGGGTGAAGACACACAATAATGTTTCTATTTAATAGAAATAGCTATAAACAGGGCCGGGATTTAGTTCAGTGGTGCAGCCACCTGCCTCACAAGCACAGGGAGTTCAATTCCCTGTACCAAAAAAAGAAAGAGAAAGAGCTGTAAACATTCTTAATTGATTCAGGGCGTCAAAGCAACTGCAAAAAGACATGAAAGCGGACTTCTAGAACTGCCTCAGAAAGTGGCAAAACAGTGCAAGAAACAAGCTTGAAAAAAGAGAAGAATAGTTTGAGGGGGTTTGATGGCAATGTCTTTTACTGTAATAACTTTTTTGCCTTAAACATTCACCATAGCTTTTTAGCCATCTTATAGGTATCAATAAACCCATCACTAACTGAAAATATCAGTCAAAATTGAGTTTAATCCCAGCTTGGTCACACAGCACCCTGTATAACATCAGTGGGTTCTCCCTTGACCCATGTGACTCCCTGGGAGTTGTGAGCCTACTGTTCCTGCCCAACATAGGGAGAAATGATCAGGCCTTATATTGGTAGCCTGGGAAAGGATCTCAGTTCAAAGTAGTATGACTTCTATGGAAGGTTTTTTCGCTTTCACACTGCAGTGTGAAATTATAAAATTGTAAGTTGAGCCATTGTAGATTGGAGCTGTATTTATTTTATTATAACTTAGGAGATGGCATACAGAATATATAGGAAAGGTTTAACTGCTGTGTGATAGTTAGGTTTTGGACTTTCCACTGAGTTTTGGAAGTTTCAGTCCATGCTCTGTTGGCTTCATTGCTTTGGGGCCTGTGGTAAGGCAGCACATCATGGTGGGGAGCTCATAGGACAGCAAAGTCGATCACCTAATGGCTAGATGTGAAACAGAAAGATGAGAGACCAAGGTCCCGCCTTCCCCTTTGAGGCCATGCCTCCAGTGACCTAAGACCTCCCGCTATGACCCATAAGCTCGGAGTAGCACCAAGCTGGAGCCAAGCCTGTTACACATAGGCTTCCAGCAGACATTCCAAACCCAAATTATACTTCGCCCCTTCCCAAGAGCAACTCCTAGATGCAACTCTCCGAGATGGAAAAATACCAGGAATACTTACTTTCAGAATTCACAGTTTTCCTAAGGAATAAATGTATCGGCTACAAACATGTGCATGCATGCATTGTGTGTGTGCATTTTGATAAAACATCTTGGTTCTGACTGTATGAAATTGCCACTTTTGTAGTCGAATAAGTCAATGTCAGCAGTTTCATATGACAGAATCTAATATTTTCTGGGTCTGCTGTATGAAAATGACTGACCAAGCTGCAAAGTTTGGTCTTAAAGATAAAGAGGATGGGCTGTTACAGACTACTGTGTGCTTTTACAGAGAAAACAAAAACAGGCACAGCTCTCTAAGTGCCAATTATATTTTGCTATTATTGCCAAGATGACACTATTAACTATGCTAGGAAGCTATAAAGTAAAATATTTTGCTAGTAACTTCTTCAGTCAAGTTGGGTTGATATTATCTCTTGACTAATGAATAAGGGTTTATTTGATTATCAAATGCAGTCGTGTATGAGTGTGGTTTCAATGCACATTGTATGCTGTACAATATCTAAATGGCACAGATTCTAATTCCAATGCTTTTATGTAGGCCTTGCTTTCCTATTAAAATTGGAAGTGTTAATTTGCCAGTAATCACTCCACTTTTCTCCTATCGCCTAGCTAAAAGGACAGGCCCTTACTGCATGGATAAAATGTAGTAATGCATTTAGTACTAGGCCATGATTTTAGACCTCCAGCTGTTTTACTGGTTGTGTAACTAAAAATAAGATAATGTTATGCTGGGTAACCACGGCTTTTGCAGGCATTCACATTTTACAAATCACTGCACAGTATGCAAACCATTATATTTTTTAAATGCTTAAATCCAGCCAAGGAGCCTAACACTTCCATTATTAAAGGAGAGCTTGCTAGACTGTGAAGCAGGATGGACCCTGGACAGGAGAGCTGGCGAGCTGCGTTCAGACCGACTGAGTAATTCCTCCACCATCCCCAGCCTCACAGCCCCGCTGGGAACAAGCATGCCAGGCCACCAGTGATGCGGAAAGGGATCCTGAGAGGTCGGTGGGTTGTTTTTGTTTTTTACTTTTATTTGATCTGTAAACCTTGCGTTTACCCAAATAATGCAAACCAGAGAACAGTATATCGAGCAAGAACAGTGGCAAGAAATAATATACTTCTCTAAACAAGCTTATATTAAAAAATACAGGGTCAGAGGAAAGAACTTTGCTGGTTCACATCATGCAAACACATAAAAGCCCTGTGATATTTATACTTCTGCGATCTAATCAGAAGCCCAAAGCATGCTGTCTTTAACTGAATATTTGTCTTGCATGAGAGCGTTGATAAATAAGTGGAGCTATCCTGAGCTGCATATTTACAATAGCATCTGCTTTCAGAAATACCAGTCATTCAGAACAAATGCTCCTGGAACATATTGCTCCACACTGACAAATACTGGCAAGGACAGAGTGAGGTTTTATACTATACCTGAAACTGCTTTCAAGGTTCTATGGGCTATTTATATATATATATTTTTTTTTAAAAAACTCTGTGATCATCTCTCATTTTCCAAATACTGCGCCCCATATCAACCCCAGGTTTGTGCAAAGACTTCAACAGTGTGTGGATATGTGGCCACAAAGTCAACCTTGGTTGAGGGAGACAGGATTTCCCTAAGATCCCCAAGGAAACAAAATAATTCAGATGTGAACCAGCACAAGCCAAATACATAGTACAATGTCAGTAACTAGAAGCACATAAATAGCCAAGCAATGTTAACTGACTCTTAGATCCCACTTTTAACTAGCTCACTTGTAATCCCAGAGTGAATCATGGAGAAGCTGAGGCTAGGGACAAACAAGAAGAAATGTTTTTTTGTCTGTAGCACTTGGCCATTAAAATTTGATCAAGGGGCGGAGGAGGAAGAGAAGCGGGGAGTGTGGATTTGACACACAGGACTCAGCAAACAGGAAGACGAATCAGACTTCTCCATGTGTGAGTTTTTAAGGCTCTGTGGGATTGGCAGGAGGTTGAGATTATTGATTCTGTAAGAAAAGGTGAAGCTTTTCCAAAGTTTAGATCAAAAATATAATGGTCTTGGGAATTCAGAAAAATTAAAATGTATAAAGCTGTCTTTCCTAACAAGTCCCTCAAGCTGTCAAGTTATAAAGACTAGAACTTCTCTCTGACTTTTACTTCCTAAACAGGCAATGTTGTCTTTTTTCAAGGATGCAAAACTCCATTAAGGCAAAACAGGCCTATGTCAAGCTAAACAGTATCTCCTAAGGGGACTAGGTCAGGACCTTCAGAGAGAGAGGGGAACTTAGAATCTACCTGATGCAAGCAGGAATCTGAGACACAGTGAAGTTAAATGTCTCTTAAGTCATCCAGCTAAGAAGCCATGAATTAAGCCAAGTCTTTTTGACCTTGAATGGTGTGTTTGAGATACTATTGTTAGACCATCTGTACATTCTGGTCTTTCTACTTCAAAAGGCCAATTAAGAATGAATGAAAGTAATTCTTTTAAAAATCATACCTATCCCTATCACAATGGACAGACTAAATCTCAGAAGGAAAAGTTGAGCAAGCCATGCCTTGGCATGGACAGCAAGCCCA